AATGTATCTATGATCCATGTTCATCTTATAACTAAATAATGTATCTGTGATACATGTTCATCTATAACTAAATAATGTATCTGTGATACATGTTCATCTATAACTAAATAATGTATCTATGATACATGTTCATCTATAACTAAATAATGTATCTGTGATACATGTTCATCTATAACTAAACAATGTATCTATGATCCATGTTCATCTATAACTAAACAATGTATCTATGATCCATGTTCATCTATAACTAAACAGTGTACCTGTGATCCATGTTCATCTATAATTAAACAATGTGTTTATGATCCTAGTTCAACTACACCCAGCAATGTTTTATGATCCTTCTTATCAGCAACTAACAATGTATGAGCCAACTTTATCTACACTAACAATGTATGAGCCAACTTTATCTACAACTAACAATGTGTTTATGATCCAACTTTATCTTCAATTAACAATGTATTTGTGATCCAACTTTATCTACAACTAACAATGTGTTTATGATCCAACTTGATCTACAATTAACAATGGTTTGTAGTCCTGGTTCAACTACACCTAACAATGTGTTTATGAACCTTTTTCATCAATAATGTGTTTACGATCCTTATTCACGTACAAGCAACAATTTACCTCTATAAACAACTAGCTGACCCCCTGTCATATGACGGTAAATACTTATGAATAACTAGCTGACCCCCTGTCATATGACGGTAAATACTTATTCATTTTGCTCTGGAAAATTTGTTCTAATTAATTTTTTTATTAACATATTTTCAAAAATTAGCTACATCATAATATCAATATTTGCCAAAAATTATTTTTCCTTTTTTTAGCATTTCACGAAAAATAACACTTTTTGTGTATATTTTATCATCCCTTGCAAGTGTTTCTTGATTAGAATTTGTACTTATATATATTTTTTTATGTTATGCTCATATCAAAATCGTGGCAGGAATTATGGTATAAAAATCCACTGAGATGAAACTTCGGGGGGGGATTACCAGGGGTGCTCAGAAGCTTTTGCTTCTCTTCGCACCACTCGTGATGGTGGTGTGGGCTGTATATGGATTCCAATGGGTTGAGCTTGATTGAAGATATTATGTTGACATGAAATGCTTAAATCTGCTTCTTGGTAAAGCTTTATAGAGCTGACAATGTGAAAAAATTGTTCTGGAAGAAATATTCCTACATGGTCAAATGTCTGACCCTACGACTTAATAATTGTGATGGCAAAGACAAAGAACTGGAAGGTCAAGGGCAAGTCCATAAGGGTATAATATTTCATAAAAACTATTATAAAATGTTTTAATAATTTCAAGAAAGAAATCTTTCCATAGGTGAAAAAACAACAAATAAGAAACAGGTCATATGTGGCGCCATCTATTGATATATTATTATATTACACTGTATTTGCTTGAAGTACATTGGGAATATAATTTTTTGTTATTTTGTTAATATGAACCTTAAAGAATAAAAATAAAATCTACCACTTCCATTATTTAGCTATGTGATAAAAACACATTTTCTGACATAAGTTAACCAAAAGTTCAACAAAATTAGTTCACAAAGATATCGCATTAACCATTTAGAAAACAGTAACTTGGTTTTAAAATTATTATAAACTTTTTAAAAATAAATGATTTGTTCATTCTTTCGTCTTCCTTTATGTCTATTGTTCCACAAAAATTACCAAATTAATATAATGATAACAATAGTCACTGATTAGTGGAAAATAATAGTATCCGTTAGAACGAGGATTTAGATCATAGAGAAGTGAAAATTATCATTTCAAAATATCCCAGCTTCAAGGCACAAGTAACTCGATGATCATCTTCCAGAGATTTTTTTAAACGGATGAAGCATTCATTTGACTCAATCGATTTAAATAATATCTCTTACTCGTGTGTATATCATTATTAAAATTACAAAAAATACTATTAGTGTAAACAAAGATTCTAAGATTTAAAATCGGCGCGTGAAACAACTTGAATACCTTATCTTTAGTTAAATATGGAAATTGAAAACTCGCTTCTGACTATGTGTTTGGGCCAGGCATGGCCAAGTGGTTACGGCACTCGACTTGCAATCTGAGGGTCGCGGGTTCGAATCTCCGTCACACCAAACATACTCGCCCTTTCAGCCGTGGGGACGTTATAATGTGACAGTCAATCCCACTATTAGTTGGTAAAAGAGTAGCCCCAGAGTTGGCGGTGAGTGGTGATGACTAGCTGCCTTCCCTCTAGTCTTACACTGCTAAATTAGGGACGGCTAGCGCAGATAGCCCTCGTGTAGCTTTGCGCGAAATTCAAAACAAACTGACTATGTGTTTAACGAAATAGCTTCTGCCTCTTACCAGGTGGGGTATCTTTCCTACCAACCAAATTATTCAACTGTAACCTGGTCTTACACGTCAACAATCACATTTGTTTTAAAGTTAGTTGGCACAGAAGAAGCGTTTTGATTCTATGATTTGCTCTGTTTCTCAGTTGTATTTTTTCACGTATATGTACATGTACTTTATCTAAGCACTTAAGTTAATATTTATATCAAAAGGAAGGACTGAATTACAAACGGAAGATCAAAACTACGATGAAATATAACATATTTATAATACAAAGCAAGCCGTAACAAAAATCATTCACAACAAAACAGAGTCACCCACCCGGACCCATGTGGAGTATAAGTAATGTCCTGGTTTCTGGGGGAAAACTGCATAAGTAGGACCTACATAGTGATGGGGATACACCATCTACCAGTCCTAAACTCCTTTAGTGAAGCCTCACTAAGAGAGTGAATATGAAAAATATAAAAAAAAACCTAAGAGACCTAGATGCCCACGATGTCCCACATCTATATCACCCTTCACTACCTGTTTTGGAAAGACGAGATGCCCACGATGTTCCACATCTATATCACCCTTCACTACCTGTTTTGGAAAGTCGTGATGCTCACGATGTCCCACATCTATATCACCCTTCACTACCTGTTTTGGGAAGTCGTGATGCCAACGATGTTCCACATCTATATCACCCTTCACTACCTGCTTAGGAAAGACGAGATGCCCACGATGTCCCACATCTATATCACCCTTCACTACCTGCTTAGGAAAGACGAGATGCCCACGATGTCCCACATCTATATCATCCTTAACTACCTGTTTTGGGAAGTCGAGATACCCACGATGTCCCACATCTATATTACCCTTCACTACCTGTTTTGGAAAGTCGAGATGCCTACGATGTCCCACATCTATATCACCCTTCACTACCTGTTTTGGGAAGTCGACTACTCTCAGAAGAAAATAAGTAAAAAAATAAACAAAAAATGAGAAAGAAAAAATTCTACTATGGGGGGGGGGTGAATAAGAATACCTTACCCTTGAAGTAATTTCAGACCGATTATGGTAGAAAAAGCTCAAATTAATAATATAATCTTGGTAGCTCAACAGAAAAATATATAGAATCGAAAAAAATACTCTGCTACATTTTATATGAGCTTGTGTAATCATGCATGTTAAAAATATTATTACGCGCATGAAAATAGCGCCAAGAGTTTCTTGTTAAGAAATCATATCTAAATTTTTCATAAAGTTTAAGCATAATTTATTTGATTCTTGCTTCTTAACATTTATGTAATATATTTTTTATATTTCTTACAAAATATTTCAATAGATTTATTTAATTTTTGTTTATCAAATCAATTAATTATTAATATTTGTATAAAAAACAAAGATCAAGAGAATAGACAGTGTGACCTACCGCTATGTGGGTCCTTCTTCCACAGCTACCTCCATAAACCAGGACACATCCTGTACCCCACATTATATCCTTTGCTCTGGTGACTTTTTTAGTTGTGCACCGTTTCTGTTTAAGGCTTATTTGGTATTATGAATATTGAAAGTGTAGTAGTATTCTATTGTTTTATAGAAAGTTTAGTGATTATGAAAATTAAAGAAAAGTAAGATCACGTTAGATCAGAGAATCTATACCATGACCAACTTTAGTCTCTTCCTATATCGTAATCATTTTTAGCGTTTTAACTTTAAATCGTGATCATTTTGAATGTTTTCGTCTTTGAACCGATGGTAATTTTGAATGTTTTAACTTTAAATCGTGATTATTTTGAATGTTTTAACTTTAAATCGTGATCATTTTGAATGTTTTAACTTTAATCGATGGTAATTTTGAATGTTTTAACTTTAAATCGTGATCATTTTGAATGTTTTTGTCTTTGAACCGATGGTAATTTTGAATGTTTTTGTCTTTGAACCGATGGTAATTTTGAATGTTTTAACTTTAAATCGTGATCATTTTGAATGTTTTGTCTTTGAACCGATGGTAATTTTGAATGTTTTAACTTTAAATCGTGATCATTTTGAATGTTTTTGTCTTTGAACCGATGGTAATTTGGAATGTTTTTGAACCGATGGTAATTTATTTTGAAGGGAATTTCAGTTTCCTAAACATTACGTTTACGTTGAAGCGACAGAACGGTTACCATCTGATCCAGACGTACCTCCCAACGTTCATGATCGTCATGATTTCGTGGGTCTCCTTCTGGCTAAACGTGGACGCTGTTCCCGCCAGGGTGACCCTCGGAGTGACCACTCTTCTTACATTGACCACTGTGGCCGGAGGAATACGAACTAATTTGCCTCCGGTTTCGTATGTTAAGGCGATTGATGTGTGGATTGGAGTGTGTACGGTCATGGTTTTCGGTGTGTTGCTGGAGTTCACTCTGGTCAATTATCTCTCAAGAAGTAAATTTACTCCCGAGGAATTTCGAAAATCAATCAAGATATTTAATGTGATAGTAAGTTGACTTTGAACCTTAACTGTGAAGTATAATTTAAAATTTTAGATTTTAATAAAATATTGTATTTACCATTATTAACTTTTAATAACATATTGTATTTACCATTATTAACTTTTAATAACATATTTTATTTACCATTATTAACTTTTAATAATATATTGTATTTACCATTTAATAACATATTGTATTTACCATTATTAACTTTTAATAACATATTGTATTTACCATTATTAACTTTTAATAACGTATTGTATTTACCATTATTAACTTTTAATAACGTATTGTATTTACCATTTAATAACATATTGTATTTACCATTTAATAATATATTGTATTTACCATTTAATGACATATTGTATTTACCATATAATAACATATTGTA